GCCGCCGCTACCGCCCTCCTCCGCTGCCGGCGTGGCTGCGACGAAGGCATTCGGGTCGCCAGCGGCGCCGCCCTCGCGCTTCTCTGCTGCGGCCTCGTGAGGCTGCTCTCGCCCTTCCAGCTCTGCCACGCGGCGGCGCAGCCTCACCACCTCCGACCTCAGGCGCCCCAGGTGCGCCGTCATGGCAACAACGTCCACGGGGGCCGCGGGGCCACCGGAGGGCGCCGTTGCAGTGGCAGCGGCGGCGACAGCGGCGGCGGCGGCGACGGCGGCAGCGAGGGAGTGGTCTGCTGCCTCAGGGTGCAGTGTCTCGGTCTGGTGGTGGTGCTGCTGCTGCACCTGCTGCAGAGGGTCGTTGTGCTCCCGCTGATGGAGGGTGACCGCCTCGCCAATAGCAACGCCTGCAGCGTCCGCATCGACCGCGGGCGCCGGGCCGCCCAGCGCGGCGGCGAATGCCTCGTCCAGCTGAGGGCGCTGAGCTGGCGGGTCATGGTGCAGCTTGGGCGGGGCGCTGGTGGGTGGCCCCTTTGGGACTGTGTTTGCCTGCAGAGTGTCCTCCTGCAGTTGCGAGGGCGTCATGAGTTGCGGAGGGGCACGAAAGAAATGGGAACAGGGGTCATGACCCAGCGCCAAGGGCCGCTAGCGCAGGGCCGCTGCCGTTCTGCCGCAGAACTGCGAATTTCAGTGCGCTGGGATAGCACGTCTTGAATGGGGCTCGCGGGGACATCCCATCGGCGCGTTGCGCCGCGCACACACCTTGAACGCCCGCACGACAACGCGCGAGCGGCGGCCGACTGCGCCTCGTGAGGTTGACGCCATGGGCGCGCGCCGCGCGCCAGAGCTCCTGGCCCCATGGGCAGGCATACCCCGCAGAGCTCGTCCGTGACTCATCATGATCGATGCGACGCGAGAGCCTGCAAAAGGGCAAGCGCTGGCGCCGATGCAGCGCTGACTGCTGTAGCCAAGCGTGGCGGCGGCTTTTAACGGCGCGCCGTCGGTGTCAAAACGCTGTGCAACGATGTATTTGGGATAAGCGATGAAAGAGGTTGTGGTGTGTGCGCCAGGACGTGCGCCTGACGATTTCTGAAATCACAACGCTCCCTTTTTGGATTTTTGCGTCGAACCAGGGTTCTTTACTGCCTCGTATGCCCTCATCCACTCGTCCACGTGTGATGCAATGTCAATCAGTCTGATTTGAATATTGCACCGGCACTGTACTAGTCACTACCTTGCCAAGTCATTGGCAAGGTGACATGAGGTGTGGCCCCGTCTCTGGAGGTCCATTAGTCCAGCAGACGGGACCAAAGCCGCGCGCCTGCCAGGGAGGCACAGCCTTCAAGCCGCCGTTTGTGGGAGAGCAAGAGGGTGTCTACTGGCCACCGATATCAGCACGAATGCCTGCCACAGACCCTAGGATACGCCCCCGCGTGCCTTCGGGCTGAGACGACACAAGGCAGTGACGGCGTTGGGATCTGCAGAGTGCCTGCCCCTCCCCCCATCGAACCAACGCACACGCATCAGAACATTACCAATGGAGCAACACAGCATAACAAAAGCGCACGGTCGTTCTGCGGCGCTTGCATAAAACGCGCATGCATGTTCGTGCCAACGCAACCACGTGCGCGCATACACGCACACGCACACGCACACACACTCGCGCACGCGCACACGCACACTCACACAAACGTGTGCGTGTGCACAGTCAGAAGCACAAGTGGGCCACATGGAGGTTGGAGCAACCCCCTCAGACACTAAAAAAGGGGTTGATATTGGGCGCAATGGTCATTTCATCACAAGATGTGTTCCCGGCGTGATACCAACCTGCCAGCTGTAAGCAAGGAAGCAATGTGCTCAAAAACTGTCCTTCCATCATTGTTGCCCCGAAACACCCAAAGAAAGATCATTGCTGCTGTGACGTGTGAAGGGGCTGCAAGCAGTAAGGCGTCGCAAAGCACAGGCCCGCAGAAATGGCGCCGCCCGCCGCCGCGAGGACGACGCCGAGGACGAAGCCCCCGCCCCCGCGCCGCGCATGCCACGCCCGCGCCTGGGGCAGCAGCAGCGCCGCCCCGGCATGCGCCGCCCAGCCCGACGCGGCGGCGAGCAGCATTTCGGCGCCTGCGCTGTAGGCGGCCGCGGCCGCCGCCGTCGCCTGCAGCAGGCTGCCGGCGCCGGCGCCGTACGCCGCGGGCCCCACCAGCAGCAGCGACAGCGCCACCACCGACCCCGAAGCGCAGAGCGCGACCGCGGAAGCGCCGACGCGCCGCACGGCGCTGCCGGAAACGGGCACTAGCGCGCAGCCGCAGGCGAGTCCGGCCAGGGCACCTGCCGTTGCGGAGGATGGGGCCAAGCGATGCAGTTTGGTTTTTTTTTGGGGGGGGCACGGTTGATCAAGTTCCATCAGCTGCACTGGGCATGAGTCTGTCAGCTGCACTGGCCATGAGTTTGTCAGCCTGCAAACCGAGCCCTACTGGCGTTGACGTCTGGAGATCACGGCGATGTTGCGACCATCGCTACTGCTGCTGCTGCTGCTGCTGCTGCTGCTGCTGCTGCTGCTGCTGCTGCCGCTGCTGCCGCTGCTGCTGCCAGCCTGCACTTGACCACATGGCAAGTGCATGCAACCTTCCCTGCACTTGCACCACTCACCGTGCAGCACCATGGGGACCATGAGCCGCCCCGAGTCCTGCCCCGGCACCAACAGCGCCGCCGCCAGCGCCGCACCCCGGGAGCAGCACCACAGTACCGCGGCGCCGCAGCCCGCAGCCGCCGCGCGCGCGCCGGGCCACAGGGTCAGCCCCTCGCCTCCGCGCGGCGTGCTCGGCTGGGGCTTCGCGTGATGAGGCGCCTTTGACGGCGCGTCAAACGCCGCCGCCGCTGTCGCCACCGCGCGTATGTGCGCGCACGTTGGGCTCGAGTCGCTGCCCGCCAGGCTTAGCTGCGCGTGCCGCTGCTGCTGCTCAGCCAGGTGGTGTGCGTTGTGTTGGTGGTGGTGGTGCGGGTAGATGTGAGGGTGGTGCGCATGCCCCATGTAGGGCGCGTGACCTGCAGCGCCGCCGTTGCACAGTGAGGTGTACCCGTTTGTCTTTGGCAGCGCGTCGCCGTCGTGCTTCTTGTGCGGCTCGGACGGCGGGCCGTCGGCGCCGCCGCTGCCGGCCCCCATCTCCTGCCAGACCATCGCCGCCGCCCCCGCGCCCGCCGCCGCCAGCGCCGCGCTCAGCCACAGCGGCTGCTTGCCGCCCGCCGCGAGCCACAGCAGGCCCAGCGCGCCGCCGCCGGCGAGCGCGCCGGCCGACACGCCGAGCGCGGCGGGGCGAGAGGGCAGGAGGTTCGCGGCCATGCCCGCCGCCACTCCAGGCGCGAGGCAGGGCAGCAGCAGGCTGAGCACGAGCGGCAGCAGCTGGGGCCCTGGCGGGTCGCCAAGGGCGGCTGGGGGCGGCGCTGTCTCCAGGTGCCGTATGAACACTGCCAAGCCTTGCAGCCTGCGGGGAGGGAGGGGGGGCAGGCAGCGCGAGGCGCGTCGAATGACGGGGATGGCAGAGCGCAAGGGCCGTGAAGAGCCGTGTGGCGCGCGACCGCGTTGGCATGCATTCTTCGAGGCGCGCCCCTACAGCACTGAAGGGGGCAGGGCGTGCCGGCTGCAGCGCGGGGGCGGCCGGCCCTCGCGGGGCCGTGCGTGAACAGTGCGCTGGGCCGCCGCACCATGCGGCAGAGGCGG